ATTCGAACCCGAACATGCTGGGAGCTAAGAACTAACAGCGAGCATCTCTACACGTTCAGCTACAGCCAGACATGCAAATGTGCTTTCAAATGCTCAACTTCAATCACATTTCGTTAAAACACGAGCAGTTATCGGATAACAAACAATAAGCTGGCGCAGAGACACGAGTTGGTCCGCTACAGCATGACAGAGGAACACTTTTGTAAGTACTCCAATTTACCACAAATAGACTACATGGTCCAACGAGAAAGTTTAAATTCCAAAAAAATGTCCGTGAGAAACCGTGCGTGAGCGTGCGTGATTGAAAAAATAGGCGTCGTGAGAAAAAATATAGCAGGACGTGAGTGTGGGTGATTTAAAAAACCATCAACGTGAGCGTGCGTGAACGTGAGCCAAAATTACTCACGTGCCCATCTCTAGTTTGAAACATGAATACAGCCATATGCATACAGCAGGAGTACAAGTGTATGGTTAGAGTACGCATACGCTCTGAGAAAGCATACATGTTAAATGGAAATGAAGCTTCATTTATACTGGCATGTATACACAGCAGCAAGTTCATGCCACAACAGCGATGTCATATGTATCAAATTTCTACTGCGTATTAGCCCTGCCAGATAGAGTACGTTACGTACCTTCGGGCTTCAGCGTTCAACTGACAAGGCGTACGAAGCGCATAGGTACGCCACAATGAAAACGTTGTCGCATGTAAACAAGTCAGCTGTTTTGTACTGGCGGCAAATTTTTCTTTGAATGCAAAATAAATCTATATTTTTAGTTGTGCTAATATTTGTGAAGAAGATAAAAAAAATTTAAATAATTGAAGATATTTTAATATTGCTCATGTTGCTGGAAGCCAGAGAATGCTTCAACAGGCTTTATGGAGGCCGTAGATGGTGGGTGCGACCTCCTCTACAGAATCGGGACGCTCACGGATTTTTCGCTAAGAATTTTGGATTCAGGGAGGAATTTAAGAACAATATAAGGATGGAAAAGCACATTTTTGAAATGCTTCTTAATTTTATTAAGGAAAGGATTACTAGAAACAATTCTAATAGGCCATCCATTTCTCCAGAATGTCGACTTTACTTGACCCTCTGGTAAGTTATTCATATATCGTGAATATGTATATTTCAGGGACGTGAACCGGTTTTGAGCCGAACCGGTTTTTAACCGGAAAACCGTTTTTTTCTATTAATTAACTGAACCATTAACCGAACCGAAATTTTCCACAAATGTTTGATCCGAACCGAAAACCGAACCACTTTCTTTAAAGGTTTAAAGGTTCAACCAATTTTCAATAGATAAATTTACCCACTTTTTTTCTTTTTGTTAAACATGGTAATACCTATCATGTTTTTTTACCATGTGACAATATCAAATGTAAAGGCAGCCCATCTCACTTGAACCTTAACCTTGCGCGTTGTTGCACTTGACACTTAAACTTGCGCGTTATTTTTTTGTTTTTCGAACCGTTGAACCGAACCGAAACCCCGGTTCAAAGACCAAAAAAACCGCTTTGACGAAACAATCCAAAAGTGCAACAACGGTTCGAACTGCTGAACCGAACCGACCAAATTTTTCATCCGGTTCACGTCCCTGGTATATTTAAATATTCTAAATTATAGTTATTTGGCTCACGGAGGAAGTAAACAGTTTTATGCTTCTTCCTTTAAAATTGAACTTTCCACAATGAAGGAAATAGTGGCAGAAACGTGCGATGCCTTGTGGGAGATACTTGGGCCAATTTATTTGTCGATTCCTAAGAAGGATGAGTGGAAGCGTATCGCTATCGATTTTAATTCCATGTGGAATTTACCCAATTGTATTGGTGGAATTGATGGCAAGCACATAAACATATTTTGCCCATCAAACTCAGGTTCCCCTTTTTATAATTATAAAGGAAACTATTCCGTTGTTCTGCTGGTGGTGTGTGATGCGAATTATACTTTCACGTGCATTGATATTGGAGCTTACGGCTCGCAAAGTGATGGTGGCGTTTAACGGAATTCTGGCTTTGGGAGACAGCTCTATAGTAGAAAACTGGATCTGAAAACGATGTGCTACCAGACTCTGACACAACTTTTCCCCATTATTTTGTTGGAGATAATGCGTTCCCGTTAAAGCCATTTTTAATGAGGCCGTACCCAGGTTTGTATGCACAATTTAAAAATTTGTATTTTCGAATTAAACGCATTTACTCATTTTAGGAACCAACTTTTCTCTGGAGAGGCAAATTTTTAACAAACGTTTATCTCGAGCACGCCTNTTTTAATGAGGCCGTACCCAGGTTTGTATGCACAATTTAAAAATTTGTATTTTCGAATTAAACGCATTTACNTTTAATGAGGCCGTACCCAGGTTTGTATGAACAATTTAAAAATTAGTATTTTCTAATTAAACTCATTTACTCATTTTAGGAACCAATTTATCTCTGGAGAGGCAAATTTTTAATAAACGTTTATCTCGAGCACGCCGTGTTATAGAAAATGCATTTGGGATTTTGGCTTGTCGATGGAGAATCCTTTTAAATCCCTTACAAATGAGCCCTTCATCTGCCGAGAAAATTGTAAAGGCTACTGTTCCTCTTCACAATTTTCTCAAGATGCGCGATGGTAGATATTGCCCGCCGGAATNTTGTAAAGGCTACGGTTCTCCTTCACAATTTTCTCAAGATGCACGATGGTAGCTATTGCCCGCCGGAATATGTTGACCAGGAGGACGGCGACTCTATCAGAAGAGGATTGTGGCGGAGTGATATTTCGACCCCCTTGCAAAGAGCTAGGCGGATAGGTTCGAACAATGCGTCACAAAATGCGTTTAAGTTAAGAGATGATCTGAAGAGTTACCTTGTATCCCATCCAATTCAAAGGATGGCACAATAAAGAAAAAGGTGATTTATATTTTGTATCTAATGTGCGAAAATAGTTAACATATAATGCTATTTTTAGGCTCAACAGAACCAAGATGAGTTTGCCAAGCGGAGACGCAAAACATGAT